ACTGTGATTCCCAAAAGTGGATACCTAGGTAGGCTGCGTGATGCACAGATGTGATGTTGGGACGGATATAGACGAGTGTAAGTCGATGATGCAGGTCAAGACATGACGCCGTGACTATTGAACACGCTAGGAGACCAGACACGCGCACCCAGGAACTCATTTCGCCGTGTGTTGTTCCGACGCCCAGGAGATGTCGCGTTTCCAAGATGAGGAGCGGCGCAGCGCGATTCTAGCTAGCGTGCTTGGCATGAACGTGACGCGCGCGTGTGGCACATGTCTCCTTTCGCGCGAAAGTTCCACCAAAACCTTCACATACCTACGTTATCCCTGAGCCTACTGACTTTCTGTTCTTTCCGGACGCGTCGCGTTGCCCTGCGATACAGCAGCTCCGAAGCTGCCCAGTCTGCCAGATTCGACTGGCCCTTCCGGTGGGCTTGCGCCATGGCATTATGTACTGTCTCCAACCCCATTCTTTCACATACGACCATAGGATCATGAAAATTAGGCTTCCCGTCCGCTCAGCCATATACAAGCATGATACCGGCGGATTAGTAGTTAGGTGGGTGACCACTAGCGAATCCCCGCTGTTGTATGTTTTTGATCTTTTTTGCCCCAGCTAAGGACATGCGACAAGCTCTCGAGCGGTGCCGTCTGCGGGCATCGCTCCTATTTTTGCTGGTCTGGCAGTACTATTCACGCATCCATCACCCCAAAAGGCATCAATTCGGTTGTCTCTACCCCGAGGTTAAATGGCGAACAGGTCTTCGCCCTCCCACAAACATGTCGATCTACCCCACCTCCACAGTAGCTCCACTCCTGGCCATCACACACGAGGCTCGCCAAGGACACACCAGCCTCGTTCAGGACGACCTACATTACGTTCTGTGGACACCTTCTTGCGTGCGGGCTAGTCGACGGGTATGCTACCGCAAGTGACATGGTGAGCCGGGTATTGGACGGGCCACGGCCCGTTGCGGTCAAGCCGTAGCCAGGTACCTGGTCGAGACATGCAACTACAAAATGCTTGCCCGTCGGATGGTCAGGGAGAAAGTCAAGCCTCCCCTCTGGTTGCGACTTCTTCCACTGTTTGCACCATCTCACAATGTTTGGGGCCTTCATTGGCCTTGCTGGCCTTGTCAGCTATGCCACCGCCCAAAGCGACTCTGTCAAAGTCAAGTGGCTTGAGGATACACCAGAATACCTCGCTGGCGTGACATTCGGCCTACCGTGGCCTCGAGGACAGCACCTTGCGAACGCGACAACCTTCACCGTCTCTGGGGATGCGGAACTTCAGTCGTGGGCAACAGCATACTGGCCTGATGGCTCGCTGAAGTGGGTACGACATGTCCCTGTACGAACTGCATATGAGACATTGACTGACTTCGTACACCCACCTCTTAGACCGGACATGCTCTCGGAGCTAGCGACGTACCAGCCAGTGAATATACAATCACAGCTTCTGGTGCAGGAAACTCCTCGGCTTCGCTATACAAACGCCAAGCCAATGGCATCGAAGTCACCGACTCTGACAACACCATCGTGGTCAGTACTGGCAAAGTCTCAGCAACCTTTCCCAAGTCGGGCAACATTCTGGTTTCCACCATTGAAGCCGGCGGAAAGACGGTCGGAAGCAACGGTCACCTCGTCCTACGCTCTCAAGACGGTACTCCTGATGACGACGAAGATGGCAAGCCAACCGGCATCGACTACTTCAGCTTCACCAGCAAGATCTCGAACGTCACTGTATCGGAGGAGAACAGCGTTCGATCATTAGTCACTATCAACGGCATCCATACTATCGACGGAGATGGCGCTCATGACGACTGGATACCCTTCACCGTTCGGTTTTACCTCTACGCCAACTCCGAAGCAATTCGGGTCATTCACACCATCATCTACGATGGAGATATGTACAAAGATTTCATGTCGGGTATCGGCATTCGCTTCGATATTCCCCTAGCTGAAGAGGAGTTCTACGATCGTCATGTCCGAATCGCGGGTGTTGAAGGCGGGATGCTACACGAAGCTGTCAAGGGCATTACTGGTCTGCGTCGCGACCCAGGTGTCGACATTCGATCGGGCCAGTTCAACGGCACCGTCTTGCCACCGAACTCTACATGGGATCAGAGGGTGACCACTCGTTTACAGTGGATCCCAACGTGGAGCGACTATCAGCTCACACAACTCTCACCAGATGGCTTCAACCTCAAGAAGCGCACGAAGGCTGGCCAAAGCTGGGTCAAGATTCCTGGAGGCACACGTTCAGGTGGCCTGGCATATCTCGGCGGCGCTACGGTTGGCGGCCTTGCCGTGGGCCTTCGCGATTTCTGGAAGAAGTATCCTACCAGTTTGGATATCTCTAATGCCGCAACTGATACTGGATCAATCACCATGTGGCTGTACAGCCCTCAAGCAGGGCCCATGGATATTCGCCCATACCACGACGGACTTGGACAAGACACCTACAAGCAGCAATTGGACGCTCTTGATATCACATACGAAGACTGGGAAGGAGGCTACGACACTCCCTATGGCCTTGGCCGCACCAACGAGCTTTACATCTACGCGTTTGACAAGACTCCATCCGCCGAGCACCTTGCAACGCTCACCAACTTCACCAACAACCCACCCGTTCTTATTCCTGAGCCAGAGTACATGCGCGACACCAAAGCGATTGGGTCGTACTGGGACGTGCCTGGTGCTGTGGACTCTGCGCAAGCACAAACTATCGAGAACAACATGGACTTTCTGATCAAGTTCTACGAAGACCAAATCGAGCAGCGCCGTTGGTACGGATTCTGGGATCATGGGGACATCATGCATACCTATGATAATGATCGTCACCAGTGGAGATATGACGTCGGTGGCTATGCTTGGGATAATTCGGAGCTGTCGCCTGATCTCTTCTTCTGGGACTTTTTCCTCCGCACCGGTCGTGCGGATGCCTACAAAATCGCTCATGACCAAGTGCGCCACGGAGGCGAGGTCGACTCGTATCATCTTGGCAACTTTACTGGGCTTGGGACGAGACATGGCGTCCAACACTGGAGTGACAGTGCCAAACAGGCTAGAATCTCAACTCCAGTCTATCGCAAAACGTTTTACTACATCTCCGGCGGCGACGAGCGCACCGGCGACCTGGTAAGTGAGGTCATGGATGCTGATAAAGCCTTCCTTCGCGTAGATGCGAGACGCAAGGTGCGAGAACCGGGTATTGTCTACAACCCTGATCCCGAAGCGCTGTTCCTCAACTTTGGCACCGACTGGGCTGGTATTGCCCAAGCGTATCTTATCGAGTGGGAGCGTCGCGGGCCTCGCTGGGAAGAATCCCACAAAAAGCTCGTCCAGTCCATCATGACCTATCCAAAGCTCAAGAACGGATTCGCCACTGGCGAAGCTTTCTACAACAGTCTCACTGGTGCGTGGGCACCGCCACCCACAGACCCGAACAACACCGGCAACGTCACGGTTTCGCATCTGTCTGGTGTCTTCGGCGTCCTTGAGACTATTGATCAGCTTATGGACCACTTCGGTACGGAGGAGAAGAATCTCACGCAGCCTTTCTTCGAAGCCTTTTTGGACTATTGTTACTATTACGGCGCCGGGAAGGCTGAACAGAAGGCTCGTTATGGCAAGGACTTTGGCACTTTAAGTCTGATGCAGGGCCACTCGCGCTTCACCGCATATGTCGCGAATCATCGCAACAACGCGACACTCGTTCCAAGAGTTTGGTCAGAGTTCTTGGGCGATGGTAGTAAAGACGGTCTTGCACCGGGTGCTCCATGGGCGAGGGTGAGGGTCGATGGAAGTGACGCACTTACTGCTGTCGATGAAGCCACATGGGTCAGTACGAATGCCGCAGCGCTATATGGCGTTGCTGGTATTGAGAATCTGGCTCTCGTAGGCGCGCCTGACGTGAGCACCATAGGAGGTGGTAACGCGACAAAGGGATCCGTGTAGTCCTAGTCATTCGTATTAGCCAGAATTCTTCCCTGCGAACTACCGCCACATTCCTATCTCTATGCATGTTATCTTTGTTGGCTCACTACCCGCTGAGTGCACGAGCATTGGTTACGCTTTATACGATGCATTCCACTATAACGGTCCGGCACATCCGCGTGGCACAGTCCGGATAAAGGTCGGCGTCGGGGAGAAGACCTTAATCTGTGAGTAGCGAGCTGCATGGCCCGTGTGACAGGTCAAGGCAATGGGGTAAGTTGCCTTCAGTACGTCCCTGGAGTATGGGTTGATGCATTGCAGGCTGCTTCAATACACACCGAAAAAGATACGAGGGCGACACAAATGGAAGGCAGTTGTCGCCCTGACATGTTCCGCTGCTCCCAAAATTCACCCGCCACTTCTCATGATGGCTGTCTTCACGAAACTAAGCGCGCTTCCTAGGCTCTCTGTCGTCTTCGGGAAACTCTCTGTAGCGAAACTCGTTTCTTTAGTCATGGCATTTGTCTGTTCGCACTAATTCGCTTTCGAAGACCCGGGTGTACTAACGTTGGCAGATTGTTGTACGATGGGTGGTTAGAGGCATCTACCGAGTCTACTTTCATCCGCTTAGCCATTTTCCCGGGCCAAAGTTCTCTGCCTTTACGCGCCTACCTTACCTCACTGCCATAGCGAAAGGTGAACTACCACGACACGTTGCCCAGCTCCACACGCAATACGGAGAAGTAGTGCGCCTCTCGCCTGATGAACTCAGCTTCACCAATCCAAAAGCTTGGCGCGACATCTACGGCTATGGGTCAAAGGAAGGCCCAGGCTCGGCGCCGCCCAAAAATTGGAATCGCCGGGGAAGTTCTCCTAATGGGGCCAACTCACTTGTCGCAGAGCAAGACAATGCCGAGCATGCACGGGTTCGCAAAATCTTCTCTCCCGCGTTCTCTGACCGAGCGCTCGTACAGCAGTCACCATTATTTATCAAGTACGCTGATCAACTTACCCGCAACTTGAGAGAAAGTGTCCAGGCGAACGCGGTCGATCTCGTCCGAATGTGTACGTTAGGTCTATGTACGAACGCATATTAGACAAACACTGACTTTGTATAACTATCTCTAGACAATTTCACCACTTTCGACGTCATGGCCGACCTAACATTTGGCGAATCTCTACACCTGCTCGATAACGCAGAGTACAACACCTGGATTCAAGTTATCTTCAAAAGCATCAAGCGCGGTACGCTAATGAGCATCTTCTTCTACTACCCTCTCGCCAAGTTTATGCTATTTACATTGTTGGGTAAACAGATTGCGACATTTCGGAGGGAGCATCACAACTACACTGTCGAAAGGGTCACTAAGCGACTTGAAAAAGGACGAGTGTCGGAGGGTGTCGGTCTGTGGGACCTGGTTCTCCAACAAGAAGACAACGGCAAAGCGAGTCTGACCCGCCCTGTCATGGACATGAACGGCGAGTTATTCATGTTAGCTGGCACGGAAACGACAGCCACGTTGCTCAGCGGACTGACGTACCTACTCCTGGCGCACCCTGAAGCGATGGCGAAGCTCGCGGACGAGATTCGGACGGCATTTGACTCATCAGGCAGCATTAGTATGGAAGTCACCGCTGGCTTACCCTACCTCAATGCATGCATCAAGGAAGCGTTCAGACACTATCCTCCTGTACCGATTGGTCTGCCACATCTCACTCCGGCCGAAGGCTCGACCATTTGTGGCAGTTTCGTTCCTCCCAACGTACGTTGTCATCTCACCCACATGTTGTCAAACAGCTGTCTAAGACTCACATCCTATAGACGAATGTCGCAGCCTTTCATCTGGCAATGTACAACTCCCCCGACAACTTCAAAATCCCCGAACGTTTCATCCCTGAGCGCTGGCTCGGCGACCCACATTTCGCCTCCGATGAACGCTCAGCTCTTCAGCCGTTCCACATAGGTCCAAGGGACTGCCTAGGCAAGAAGTAAGTAACGCTGCCCCTTAGTCTCTACAACATCGCAAAGATGCTAACATGCTGCTACTAGCATGGCCCTCCACGAAATGCGCCTCATCATGAGCAAAGTGCTCTTCAACTTCGATCTCGAATTGCTTCCCGAATGCCGCAACTGGATCGCGGATCAGAAGATATACTCGTTGTGGGAAAAGACACCATTGATGGTTAAGATCAAGGATGCAGTAGTTGTTTCGACGTAACTGCGCTGTCGATCTAGACATACGTCAAAAGATAGCCTGGGGGCTTTATTGAATAGAAGCAAGACAAGAATCTTTGTCTTTCACTCCAAGCGTTGACTACAGTCTACATTTTCTGTACGCTAGTACTTTTACAGCGTTTGTCTCACCTCCGCACTGACGCCGTCTCCCATTTGCAATTTTTCCTACATCCCACTCTCATATTTGATCTTTCTGCCAACGCGCAAGCGCTTTCGAGACACACTGCCACCTATTTACACGGCTCATGGCATTCGCAGCCACGGCGATGATGGCCGCCCGGACTTCCTCCTTGACGATCAAAACACTCAGCAAGGTCCCAGACGTGGATATGTACGAAGACGTCATCCAATTAACGACACCACTCCAACTCCAACCACCTGTATCCATCTACATCAAAAGCGACTCACCATATCGGGTCACTCTCATAAGGGGCAACAGTATCGACGTCGACGCTGGCCCCGAGTCCTTCACCAAGATCACGTCCTTGAGGCCGCTCGTCATTGCGTCGTCAGCACCGCTTAAGTCCGCATTCGCTGAAGGATGGAACAAACTGCCAGCCGAGCTGAAGATCCTGACAATCGAGTTCAATATGAAAGCCGAGAATCGTATCGGCGCAGGTGACAAGAAGGTCTACCCACCGATAGTCCTTTTTCAGCTGCTTCCTCACCTGACAATGACACGCGAAATCGCCGCAATAGCGCGAGAGATCTTCTGGGCCAAGAACGAGTTCTATCTAGAGCCGTCATATTACTCTGTCGTTATGGGCAATGGAAGACTGGACCCCCGCCTCTACTTCGCCTATCCCCCACAAGCATTTCACCATCTCATTCGAAGGCTCGCTGTGCGCATCCGCCCGATGAGGGATGAGTGGCTCAAGCTCGCTAAGCTTGCGAACGGTGACTATGGTTTCGCTGCGCTTCGCAACGTCGTTGTTGAGTTGGACACGCGGATTTTGCACTGGGCCAGCGCGAGAAGATACAACGATTTTCTCACTAACACGGTCGGCGATGGCATCGACTTTCACTGCGCTGGCAATCTGAAATTCCTTGCTCCACAGAAAGCTAAGGGCAGGTCATCAGAGGTTTCGTTCGAAGATGTGAAGAAGATGTTCAACAGCAGGATCAGGTTCGCGGTCGAGGAGACCAAGGCGGAAGGTTAAAGACTGTCGCTGCGTCTGGTAGGAGCCACAACGGTTAACAGTTCGTGGGAGCAAAGCATGGTTTCGAGTTCAGGGAGAGATTGGTGGATTGTAACAGGAGGCGATGAAGAAGTCAAGGAATGGATAATGGAAGGACATGAGGGTAGTGATATGAAAGCAACTTCTGTGACGTAACCCAGCAGTGTGGTCAGTTACTTTCTTAGATATTATGCTTGGGTTGATGTAATGACGTATATGGTTTTGAGATCCGTATCATACCTTGAGCACCTGTCTGCTCATAACGCCCACTGATCCTGGCTGGCAACACATCATCCCTCTTCGATCATGTGGCCTCTCCATCCGGAGCAGGTCTTGTGCCATAGCTCTTTCCATGTGGACTTATTTAGTCTTCATGGAACCCTTGCCAGCCTTTGCGTCCTTGACCTTCTGCTTCTCCTTCTCCGTCTGCGGCAAGTCCATGCTCTTGGTGCCGAACTTCGGAAGGAACTTCCCGACCCGCTCCTGGTAGACCTTGTATTCAGGGTACTTGCCCGCGCTGAGCAGCTCAGTCAACCAAGTGCTAGCCTGGAACAAGATCAGGTATCCGAATGCACCGGCGAACGCCCAGTTGACGTAGGTCTCGGTCTCCAAGCAGCACCATTGGTATAAGCATACCCAGAAGGATTGTTCGGCTGCGAAGTTGGGGTGGCGCGACCAGCTGAAAAGACCAGTAGTGTTGAAGCCACGGTCTAACTGTTCACGGGTGTATTTCTGGTCGGATGGTACCTTGGCAGTCTTCTGGTATGCATTCCTCGCCTTGTAAAAGTTCCATTGCGCTTGGTCGGCAAAGAACTCGAACACGACGATAGCGAGCATGGAGCGGCCGAAAAGGGTATCGTAGGTTGTGATGTCGTTGCCCTTGATGCGGTTGACGAGGAGGAGGATATACGTGGGCGTGGTGACGAGCCAAAGAAGAATCTATCATGATCAGTATCTCATACACTGATAGTAAATAGTAGGAGTATACTTACATTCTGCCCTAGCGAGATGAATGTGACATTGAAAATGAACATGGCGGGTCCGCCGACGTAGTCCTTGACAATTTCCCATCGGTAGTCTTCGCTGCCGACCTGATATCCGCCCTTCCGCCAATAGTTGAAAGTCAAGCGAGCACCCCAGATGATTGAGACAGCCATGATATGGTCCAGCTTCATGGTGGGCAGGCCGTTGAGATGAGCCCATAGTGCGTAATGCACGTTGTAGAGGGCAGGCAATATACTCCAGATCCTGTCAACCTGCGAGTAGTTCCGGTTGATCTCGGAGACGGCAAGCACGATCGGCGTGACGAACATCGTGGCAAATGCCAGCGATGACATGAGCGGGTTGGTGTTGACATAGAGGTCTTTCAATGCTTGCACATCGGTGATATGCGCTGCAACCTTGTACGGGAGGTCGTAGAATTGTGGCAGGAACGGCTCGACGGTCTTGAAGTAGTCGACGCAGTCGGGCAGCGTCTTGACAAGCGGCAGTGCCATGTCGGTGTATGTACGGGGGTCAGGCATCGTTGCGATGAGGGTAGGTGAAGATGGGGATGTTGCGATGCGCCCCTCGCAAGCTGGCGTTAGCGTTTGTTGTGTGAAGCGGACAATGACCTCATGAAGACCTGTTTTCCCTGGCGTCCCCGGCTTAGCGAGCTGCGGTAGCGTCCGTGCGGCTCTTGGACGCGCTAGTACGCGCCAAGGTTACTTTGACGCGTCTTCACATGACCGTGAGGATCTTTCCCCACCATCGCCTCCAGACCCACGTGAGCCTCTTTCGCGGTTTCAACGGCAGTCCAGAGGTATGACTCGGGTATTGTGCGTGGCGGAAAAGCCATCGATCGCAAAAGCAGTCGCAAATCATCTGGGCGGCCAAGCCCGAGCAGTAAGTTCAGCATGTCGCATTGACCTTCAACATATACCTTGAAAGTTCGAACTTGTGTTTGATTGATATTCCGATACCCGGAGAGGATGCCAGATGCGTTCAGCTCATGTCTTGGTATTCGGTGCAAGGATACAGGCGCCTTCATGGCCTGACGTGCAGATCGGACGCAGGCTGACTTCAGATAGGAAAGTGTCCGCGGTATCCAGTGGGTCAAGAACTACAAGTTTGATTTCCGCTTCCAAAACTGGGGGCAATGCTCTGTAACGTTCACATGCGTTGCTGGACATATTGTTGCGCAGGACTTCAACGATCGATTCAAGAAATGGCACTCATGTCAACCCGCAGCACTGTTCGAGGCTCCCATAGTGTCGAGCATAGCAGAAGTGGGTGATTTGGTTCATTTTGACGAAGTTGGCTAATCCATATACAGGACAAAAAGGTTGTAGCGAGCAATATCGAAGCGCAAGCCAGGTGGGCGAACATCTTGTTCATCTGGACTGATTGTGATCGCGAAGGCGAGCATATCGGCACTGAGATTCGTGATATTGCGCTGAAGGCGAACCCAAACATGCAGGTTTGGAGAGCGCGTTTTAGCAACATCGAGAGAGCGTCTGTGACACTGCAAGATCTTCATGAGCATCAACTAACGTGACCCAGGCACGTTATACAAGCCTCACAGAACCCGATCCGCCTAGACGAAAAGCAGGCTCAAGCTGTTTCGGCTCGTATTGAACTAGATTTGCGGCTCGGTGCGGCCTTCACACGCATGCAGACACTGGCGCTACAAAACATGATTCCTCAGCAGGGCGAAGAGCGAGGCAAGTTGATCAGCTACGGCTCCTGCCAATTTCCAACGTTAGGGTTCGTTGTCGACCGCTATCTGCGAGTGCGAAATTTCGTTCCCGAGCCATTTTGGTACATCAAGCTCGCACACAAGAAGGACGACATCGAAGTCAAATTCAACTGGCGACGAGGCCATCTCTTCGATCGTATGGCGGTCGTCCTCATCTTCGAGCGATGTCTACTCTCAAAAACAGCAAAAGTGATCAAGATGACTAAGAAACCCACAAAGAAGTGGAAACCGTTACCTCTGACGACAGTCGAACTACAAAAGAATGGAAGTAGATTTCTTCGCATGACCTCGCAAGACGTCATGAAAGTGGCCGAAGACTTGTATACGAAAGGGTGGATTAGTTACCCGCGTACTGAGACTGATCAATTTGATCGTGGTATGGACCTGCGAGCGCTTGTCGGAAGGCAAACACAAGACGGTCGCTGGGGTCCGTTCGCACAGAACCTCATGAACGGTGGCTTTCATCAACCTCGCGAGGGCCGCAACAACGACAAAGCACATCCGCCCATCCATCCCGTCAACTACGTCGCTTCCACTCAACTCAACGACAGGGAGCGCACCGTCTATGAATTTGTTGTCCGCCGCTTTCTCGCCTGTTGCTCTGAAGACGCTGTCGGCGAAGCCACAGACATCGAGATCGAGTATGGAGGCGAGGTATTTCATGCACATGGTCTTACCGTGATTGCCAGGAACTATCTCGAGGTCTATCCATACGACAAGTGGGAGAGCAGTCAAGTGCTCCCCCAGTACACGGTAGGTGAGACTTTCGAGCCTACAGAAGCGAACATGCTGGACGGACAAACGTCGGCACCTAGCTACCTCACCGAGCCCGAACTCATCGCGCTCATGGATGCGAACGGCATCGGCACAGATGCAACCATGGCCGAGCATATCGCCAAGATCAAGGAGCGCGAATACGTCATTGCAAGACTCAAAGCGGGCGGCGCAGCAGCAGCAGCCGCAGATGGCGCAGGTGTAGGTAGAGGCCGCGGCAGAGGAAGAGGAGGGGCACGAGGGGGACGTGGTGGGCGAGGCGGCGCAGCCGTAGGCCAGAACAACGGAGGAGGGACGGGCGGAATACAAGAGTTCATCCCAACGACTCTGGGTATCGCGCTTATCGAAGGATACGACAACGTGGGGTTTGAGACAAGCCTCAGCAAACCATTCCTCCGGAAAGAAGTAAGTGGAATGTTGGGCTTTGATGACCCGGCATGCTCGCTAACACATTGGGTAGATGGAGGTCCAGATGAAGGCCATCTGCGAAGGCCGCACTACGCGCAACGAAGTGGTGCATCAAAACCTCGAGCAGTACCGGGCCGTTTTTACTCGCACGGTGCAGCAGATCAACGTCCTCAAATCGGTACGTCGATTTTGGCTCGAACTTTTGTGTGTGTAGTCGCATCGCTAACGGAATCCCCACCCACTAGGCTATCACGAAGTATGTTGTCAACGCAAATCATGGTTGAGGCATTATCACGTTGTCTGGTCGTAACGCTCACGTCCCTCGGTTGACGGCAAAAAGCTCCGATGGGTTGCGCAAGCTCTCTGTAGAGTTTGGCGATCTTCTGCGACGGGATGTCTTGCAGTGAGGCTTGTCGGGCAAACACGTGTGTCAGACGGTGGTTGCTGGCCGCGAAAGCAGGCCCCTCACCATGTGCCTGAGCCTCTCATTAGTAGGCGCATGGCGAAATCGGACCTTTGGATGGTGGGATGGACCCCGCAGCGCGATAATGATAGCGCCAATCGCCGGTGTGGGAGCGAGGCATGGAGAGACGGATGGCCAACGTAAGAAGCCGATACACACAGCATGGCGATATGGGGCATCGGCTGCGAACGGAAGCCACGATCGCGATGGCTGAATGCAGCAGCTGCGAACATCGCGACATCGTTCTCACAGCGTTTCGCAGCATTTCAGACAAAGTACACGGCTTCACCGCATCGCAAAGACACGATACACTTTGTACTACTCTAGCGTTGCCCTGCTTCTTCTAAGCTTCGAGTCCCTGCTGCTGCGAGGGGCGAGGTTTCATGACGCTTGTGCGAGGTGTGTGGCTGTCAAGGACTCAGTCAGCTGCTTCCGAGCCAATCACATGGCTGACAGGGGCACGAGTCGTAGCTTCCCGTCAGATGCGCGTGCCTTCCTTGGAACCAGCTGCCTTCGGAACCAAGGAGCCCTTATCATAGCGACCCTGCCTTGCTCGTACGTAGACTCATAACATAGCCCACACCCGAATATTGAACCTCT